AAAATCGAAAACGACAATGCACAGATTAGGAAGTCAGGTGAGGTTAGGTAAATTAGATAAGGTTAGGTCAGGTTCTAATTGGTTCTGTGCATTCTCATTAACATTTTCGTGTTTAGTATCATGCAGATAGTATGTCCAAAATTTGGGTTCAATTCCATAAGTTATTTCTAGTGCTAACCGTCTCCTCCACCTTTACCCTTAAACTTAATAATTATAATCTTACCTGATGCAGGCGGTGCAGGGCTGCGGCTGCGGCCACGGCAAGCGGTAACATCCTCCAGGTACACCGCTGGGACAACTTAGGTATGTCAAATTTACAGCTGTGTGATCATATCCTTCACTATGCAGCTTAAGCCACACTTTATAACAGTTACAGAAGATAAGACCGGGTAGTAAGTCATATCCACTTCCAACATGAGTTCATCACTACTTCAGATTTAAAGGTCACATAATTAAAGGATTCTTTCACATCTTAATGCTGCACGATAATTTCTCACAGTTGATCCTTGTTGGCACTGATAACGAATAATTTGGCGTCGTTCAGCCTTAACAACCTGGGTCACGCTAGTTTCTGACACTCCTTGCCCTGGGTCACGTTGATTACTGCCCGCATTTGACAACCGCTTATTGGCGTTCGTTGTGTCAGGTATTTTTTATTTTTTACGGGCATGAGTAAATACATACTGTATGTGTAGTAAATGCATTAATAAATTAAGTCGCTATTTTATAACAAAATATGGGAAGAAATGGAAAATATAAAAGCTGTTACTAAATTTTAAAAGAATATTTTTTTTATGATGTGGAACAAAACACTGATGACTATCAACGATAGTTCGACGACATGATTTTAAAAAATCGTCATATTATTAAATATTATTTTCTAAATTTTCTTCACCGGTTTCTTAATAATGATAAAGTATTGTTTCAATTCTATTAAAAAAAATTCACAAATACCGCAGTTAAATAGAACAGAAAACATACAATATTACCAGATTTAATACAAAATAACTCTTAAAACGTCTGTATTTATTTGCTGTTTTTAATTTCTTAAGTAAATGATTATATATCCATATCAAGTCTCTGTGTAAAAAGTTATCAGGTATGCAGGCGTACAGGTATGTTCCGTTCGTGTTTTGTGCAATACAAAATCAACATATGGAAGTGTTATTAAGGCTTTACCTGCTGTAGTCATCAAGTGTAGAAAAAAACGGGATAAAAGTCCCCTAGGACAAATAATAATAATAACACTTGTGAACCCCTCTCTGACACATAAAATATTACATTTATTATATCATAAAAATGCAATACTTAACCTAAACTAATCTAACCTATTTTGCACTTTAACCGAGGGGGTTTTGTCCCAGGGGCTTTTGTCCGAATCCCATAATCATCGAGTCCAGGAAAAAAGTCACGTTAAAAACCTAACCTAACCTACATATAATGCCATCATATATGAAGTGTAAAAGTCATGTACAGTATTGTCAGTTAATAAATGATCTAAAATAATTTTTGTTTTGTAACTTTAACTGTTAATATTAGATAAAATGTTACTTTTTTCCCTGTGACTTTTCCTCGACAAGATTGTGACTTTTTCTGTGTATTTTATTTCCGTTCACCTAATCATCAGCCATGACAGCAAAGTATAAGCATGAGCTATAAATAGATCACAGCAGTAGAGAAAACAAACATCAATGTCAAAGACCTTCATTCTCCAAGTAGACCCCAGTTCATACGGGTCTTGATTCTAATGATTAGGTCAAGTTAACCCCATGGGTACGAGGGGTCTCTCTGTGCTGAATAAAATCGTCTGGCATTAGTCAAATAGAATATTTATTAAAAGTGGCGTCCGACAGTGAAGGGATTATGTTGAGGGTCTATTACATTAAGGGAACTAACAGATGCAGTCGCTGCAACGTCTGTGGGAGAAGTTTGTACTGCAAAGAAAAGAGCTGAATCACCACAATGTATATTGTCTATAAAAAAGCAGTACAGGACAGTTTAACTTAAGTTAATTGTGGCAGGTTGATAAAACCTAGTGCAGTACTGCATAATAAGTGTTCCTAGTGCAGTTCTGTACTTCACTGACAGTCTTTGGCAAAGGAAAGTCATCAATATCAATTCATTCAATACATCACTAAAACTTTTTCAGACATATTATACAAGGCTTTTCCTCTTATATTCAGGAAGTCCATAATCAATATCGAGCACAAACTCTTCATTTATTTGTTGTTATTTAAGCTCTCTAACTACAGCACCATAACAGTTATGCACTGCAAAGGTATTCCCTTCCTACAACACAGCCCCAAGACATCCAGTTGGTGTAACTCTGCTGCTACTACAGCAACAAAAAGGTCAATAATATAATACCACTATGCTGTATACATAAAGTAACTGTATTTATTGCAATATATTCCCATACAAACATAAAATTCTTTATGATTGCACACCTTACAAATCACTCTTAAAACATAACTGCATATCAGAATTCTACAATATAGCATAGAAATAGGTATTGAAGATAGAAATTCAGGGACCAGCACAGAATTTGTTTATGGCTGAAGGTACCCAATGATATGCAATGTTGTGATAGCAAATACTGATGCAACTCTTTAGTACAGGTAGTTCTGCTATAACGCGAGAGTTGTGTTCTTGTAAAATATCGTGTTATAGAAAATCGCGTAATAGAAATAACAGGGCTTATGGAGAAAATAGGGTTAGGTGCAGATTACTCGAAATCGAAAAAATTTAGTAGTTAGCCTAACACAAAGGATAGCACAGTCTAAATAAATGTTACATTCATATCTAATAATGAAATCATACAGTAAATGTAACACTTTACTTGATGGGGGAGAAGGGTGATTTTGAGGTTGATAAAATCGAGCTTCTCTTCAAGTGTTATATCCTTTCTTTTACGATCATCACCGGGAATTCTATCACCAGAACGCTTCTTGTTGATATTCTTCTTTACTATATTCACAGTTAATACGTGGGGTATGCTATAACGAACGGATCCTACTACGAATATTCCTATAACGAACGGTTTTACCTATAAAATTGAGAATGCTATAACGAACGAAACTCCTACAACGAACATTATTTATTTTTTTTTTCTAATTTATTGTTTTTTTATTACAAATATTAATGATATTCTTTATTTCAGGGGTTTAGATGCATATTTATGCACTTTTTTACAATTTTTACAATTTTATATTATATTTTTCAGTGTTAAGTGGTTGTATTTGGGGGCCTGGAACGGATTAATCCTATAACGAACGAATGCTATAACGAACAAGGTTCTAGAACCAATTAGATTCGTTATAGCATACCCCACTGTACCACAAAATTGGAGAAATAGTAAGCAAAAATCGCGTTATATCAAACAAGCGTTCGCGTTATACAAATATCGTTCCTAATTCATAAATCGCGTTAGAGCAAATTCGCGTTATCAAAACACGCGTTATAGCAGAACTCACTGTACAGTAATTATTGCTTGCCAACACCTACAAATCACTAAAATGTTATACAGTATATAGAGAAAATTTCACCGATTTTATGTCTTCTGAAGCATGATGAGCAAGAACTTTACCATACATTAAATATTAAGCTTGGAAGAATGAAATTAATCACAGTGGGCCACATATTTAAACCCCGTGTTGATCCCTGTACAAGTATATTACTATTGCTTATACACTACTGAATACAAACAATTTCAGTGTTTAACAAAACTTTCATCAGATGCATAAATCACAGGTGGTAATTAGGTTTGCCATACTACAGTGAAATATATACATTAAACATAATCTTCTCTCTTATTTTGTGTGTGCATACAGCAGAGGAAATTCTGGCGGTGCACATTTTTTTAACGTTTTATAAATCCATGTAGAACTTAAAAGCACCAACATCAAGAGGACAAAGTCACTGAGGTTCTGGACAGTTTTCACATTTCCACTTAACTAACACCAAACCTTTGATGAACAGTCATTACTCCATACTGAGACATAATCCTTACTGAGGACTGTTGCCTTATGTATTTGTCTTCACAGTAAATTATCTCAGTAAGAAAAGGCTTATGAAATGTGCTGTACAGTATATGGTTTTTTAAACAGGAATTAAACTTATGCTATTTAGGAATTTCTGAATCAAGCAGTATTATATAAATAAGTCCACTATATTCATATACAGTACTATATACTGTATATAATACTATACGTACATAAAATTAATAACACTGAAATAGGTTAGTGTATATGTCAAGTGAAAAAATTTAACCTTATAAACTTCTTCAATCAATTTTTTTTTAATTTAGAAAAAAATAAATTCACCTAAAACAGTAAGTACCAAACCAAGACACAAACTGATAAGTTCCTTTTACACAGGTCTTAACATCTTAATCTCACACACAGTTCCTTCATATACTGTACCATGTATACATTACAATCTTATTTGGAGAATACAGTACGGTACTGTATGCAAACACAGGAATGGTTCTAACATTAATTAACAGTATACAGTACACTTTGTGTAGTGGCAGAGTATCACTGTTACTCTCGTATTATCTTGAACTTCCCGGGTTCCCAATACAGTACAGTATATTCCTCCAAGATTTTCTTGGAACTGCAGTATCTTCCAAACATTTTCAAGACTACATTTTTTTTATACTGAGCTAATGTATGCACATATGCATATACACATTGTCATGAGAAAATTTCTTGCATGCCATGTACCACAAGTAAATCACCAGAAGCCAAGCCATTATTTCTGGAACATTCCTAGAATCCCCAGCCTATACAAAATCTTAGCCACCATGCCCTACCTGTTCACTGGTGAGCCAAAATTGCAGAACAACTTTTTGAAGATTAGTGTGTGAGCTGTTCTTGTGTGCATGTGGAGGGCTATTGCCTTGACTAACCTCAGTTTCAAGGCCTTTAGTTTATGCTATGCAGCTAAATGCTACCTAACACCACTTACTTAAATCAACCAATGGATTAGGGAGAGATAGCAACATTTAAAATGTTTTATTTGAAGTGGACATTAACTCAGTTGTTTGAAATTACTGACAGGCACAACAAGCCATCTGTTCTGGAAATCTGTCACCTGCACAATAACTTCCATCCAAGCTCTCCTCCAACAGAAACCATAAAAATGTATTGGTGAATACAGTATTGTATACTGTACAGGCTATTCACATATAATTTTCATTCAATCAACTTTACAGTATTTATTTATTAAACTACTATTAGTGAATACATGGAGTTTTATACAGTAAAGAATCAGCATCAAAAGAGGAACTTTGGATGTGGCAAAGAACATAACCTATAGACTTATCTTCAATTACTGTACACAGTTTTCACTTATAAAATAACACCAGCCTTTTCCAGGAACACAGCCAATGATGTAAACAGAGCAAATCTATATTATTTCACAATACTCCGTATCAACTCACTGTTAATGTTTTAAATATACCCTTGAGCCTAAATGTATCCTAAAGATCAGTCAAAATAACAGGTATGTGCACTGCTATATGTATCAAAGACAGTTTGCACATTATTCCTTCTTTATCAGGTATTCCTAACACTGACACTGTGCCACATTATATCTCAATAAATTATAATCAATGTCATGATAGGGAACTGCTCATGAGGACCATTGAAATTAATTACCTGATGTATAACAACGAATGTCTAATGGTTTCTTCATCTTACATAACCTCAAGTTGGACTACAGGGGGTTCCTGACTTACGAACGTCCAACTTAGGAACGCCAGCCGATACGAACAGGGTTAAACTTGAAATTTACAGCATTTTATTTACCTGATGACCTAATCTTTACTTTCATTTCTGTATTTTGTCATTCTATTTCTTCTTTTGTCTTAAATTAAGTGATTTTAGATCTATATAAGGACTTAGGCTATGATATAATGGGGTTTTAAACATTGTTCTATAAGTACAGTACCAGGGTATGCACATAGCATGTGTTCCGACTTACGCACAAATCCGACTTAAAGAACATCCTCAGGAACGGAACCTGTTCGTAACCCGGGGACCCCCTGTATATAATAAAATAAACACAGTGTTTCCTTCTAGACTTATTACTTAAGATAACAACAGTTCCCAAGAGATTTAAAATGTCTGCCTTGAAAGCATTGCTAAAACACTTCCAGCCACTAACATGCAAAAGCATTTAGAGGTTCTAGTGACTTAAGATGGAGGTCAAATAGATCTTACTAGTTTAATAAGACAAGCTGCAAGCCAAATATATAACTGACATGCAAAACTCTACACTTTGTACTTTACTCCTGAATAGGGGACAATAACAAGGCACAATCCCCAAAGAAAATTAATGAGCTCCACCTACAGGAGCACCAAACAACCACAGTTTACCAGAAACAATAAAAAAATCCTAACCTTTTGTTTGTTTTTTTATATTAAAGGGGGCGTTACCCTACAACTATAAAAGCTACAGTTACCAAAAGTGACTCTGACCTAAATTTTCCCAAGAATACGGTAACAATCTCCCAAAAATTGAAAATAGTCTATAACACAAAGCTGTGTAACTAAACCCAAAAGTTAACTGGTGAAATATAACAGACACTGGTATAACATAATTACTTCAAATTTGTAAGTCTTGTGAATATAATGAAAATTTATTTATAATATTATCCGAGTCAGCCTGGTACATACATATACGTACTGTATACTGTACAGTATAAAAATACCGCACAGTAATTCTTAAAAAAAAATACATTAATTTGTATTCTGATAATGCTCATGTTAATCCTTAGTAGTCTAGACAAAAGTACACACACTTATAATAAAAAAAATACATACAAAATTATTCAACCTGGCAAAGAAAATTTTCCACAAATAATCAGAAGGTGAATGCTTTTTCATACAGTCCCCTCCAGTACAGTGAGGAGCAGTGCTAAAGCTGCAACAGCACCCAACTGGGAGCAAGAAGACCTGCCATGATGATAAACAAAAACCCAAGTTCTTTGGGTTGATACCTGACATGATGGGTTGGAGAGCTATAATGTACATGTTTGATAAGGCTTCATAGCCCACTGCACTATACAGTAAGTCCAACATCCAGAGATTACGTATAACTATTTTATGTACCACAGTAAAATAAGAAAAATTACATTTTCCAGTACAGTAATGTACTGTATTGAAAATGATTTCTAACTGCAGAGTAATAACTATAATTACTATACTACCTATACAAACAAAAACCTATAATACCAACAGGAACAAATTACAATTGTGTTCACATCAGAGAGAAATATACTGCTTGAAAAATTTGGTTTGGACAGTCATTATTATTATTATTTTTTCAATAAATAGAGAAACAAGGTGACATATTCACCTAAGAGTAATATTCTTTTCATTATTGCAACCTTTTCCTGCTACAGTTACAGGGTGGCCATAACTTGAGAGCAACAAACACTCTCCCCAACATGTTCTGTCCTGGTGTTTCCTCTCCCCATGTTGAGTAAATCTACCACCTGCAATTGTTCTTCCCTTTACTTCACAAAATAAAAAATCTTGTGTCTTAACATTTTTTGCATCAATCAATTTCTTATTTAATTCATTATTTTGCAACTTATCACCTTCCTAGCTGTTTGGGCAGTTGGTCTGTTCTTTGTTGCAGCCTTCCTGTGCCTCACAGTGGTGAATGGGTTAATGACCACATACAATACTGTACACCATTATTCAGCTGAATGAAAACTGATGAAACTAGGAGTTATTTCATCAACCAGGAAGAAGTTGGAATAAATACTGTAATAGAATAGCATACACAGACAGTGTTTATCACTTGGAGTGGGTAATGGTGTTAAAACATGATTTAATTATTTGTTTGTTTTTTATAAAATATCTCGGATCAAGAACCCAGATAAAATGTGAAACTTGCCAGATGTCATCACAGAAACCATAACTTTATCTGTGAATGCTTTACTTGCATATTTTATGCTTTGGGTCTGAATTACATATACATGGGAAACCTTCACACAATTTTTAAGCTTTAAAATATACAGTAGTTTACTGACAAGATAAATAAAAGAAATTTAGAATTGTCTGGTAACTTAATCAAGAAAAAATTCATATTTATAAAATATGTACACTGTATAATGCTCCTATATGAAACTGGCCAAACATATAAGAACAACAAGAGTAGAAGTTTATTTGGGAGGTTCTATAACGTGCATAAATGCATTGCACAATAACATGTACAGTAGCATACTGTATCTAGACTGGTGTAGGAGGAAGACTTTCCTCTATTAAAGGGTTCTTGTCTTTAAACATAATGCCACTAAACAGGTTCACCAGAGTTTTAAAGCTCTGACAACAATTGAGGACCTGGGAGATAATGGTTTTAGGCAACACAATGTGGAAATAAAATTGAAACTACGCATTAACATAGATGAAAAAATATGTTTTATGAATCATGAAGTACATATAAATAAATGATACAGTAATGATATTTCTTCTTCCCATGTCAAAATAAATATATTTTCAAATAGAGTACAGTACAGTGCAAGTATTTTAAGCATATTCATATGAATAAATTCATACCATATACATATACAGTAATCCCCACACCTTTCACAAGTTTACCCTTTACAAATATAAGTTTTACAAACAGCCCAGATGAAACTATTTTTTATCATTCACATCACCTCATACCTTTGGTGGTCATCATCATTGCATGTGATAAAGTTGGGCAAAAAATTAGAAAAAATCATTGATTTGATCATTCCTGTCAAGAAATACAAATTAAAAACAGTAATCAGCATACTGTACAAAGAAAGTACATCAATTGCATAACATAGCAGGAGAGTTTGTAATCCAGGAATAAAAGTTCAACACACCAGTAATCTGAGGTAAACATACTGTACTGTACTGTACTTTAGTGATCCTTAGGTGTATTTGTCAGTCTAAATAAAGACATATTTATGAAAAAAACCTGATATGACTTAGCACCTTACGAACCTCAATAATATATTATAATGCTTCAAGTAATATAATGAAAAAAATTGTTACTCAGGTCTGATGACCCGTCTAGGGGAGTGCATATACTCGTACAGTACAGTGCACTGAACACTGTGCTAAGCATTTAGTACACAAGGGGGTAGTGTGGTCAGCACTGTACTAGACCACCTCTGCTTCCCCAGCTATAAAATTAAATATCAATTCAAAGCTGGGTGGCATAGGGTGCCCTGGACCAAATGTTATGAAGACAAGTTAGAACAAAGCCTAAAGATTATTACCTCAAGCACATATTATGCTAATGTCTGAACGAATGCTTTTGTACCCAATATTATTAATTTACAGTAATTTAATGTTACATCTACCATGTTAAGTTCTGGACTGTCTGCGGAGCATAAAACTTACCAAGAGTAATAATAAAACTAATGTGTGATGCAGTTCAGTAAAGCTATGTGAAATGATAAAATGAGACAGCACTAAACTCGCTGCATCTACCAATTCTGAGTAGCCTTTTCTATTTTACCACCATTGTTTTTGTGTTAGAGTGTTAGGTGATATACCACAGTAAGGTGTGCTCCTAGAAGCAGAAAAAGTTACTTGAGAGAGGAAAAAATAAGCACTCTTGAGGTTAATTTTAAATTCTCGGAGACATAAAACCCAGAGAATAGTTAGCAAATTTAGCTTGTTTGAAGGAATCTATAGTACAGTTGCGGAAATGTGTTCCTACTCCAAACGGCCAACCTATATGACCTACAGTACAGCAAACCTATCCATCAATCACATCTGTCGTTACACGACCAATACCCATTCATTCATAAATGGTGATATACTACTATTGTGACATTGCCGTTTGGAGACGCGGGTTGCCAATGGGGGTGTAGGAACACATTTCCGCAACTGTACATTAGTAAATTTAGAAGATATTTTTCTCATTGGGTTGGGTTAGGTTAGCATAAAGTGATTATCAGATGATAATTATAAGCTAGGAGTAGGATGTCGAATCTCCGGGTGATCTATTTTTTCTACATTTTCCCTTCTTCTCAACATCTTCCTTTTTTCTGTTCATTTAACAGTGTTTCCCTTTCACATTCATTTATATCTTGTAACAAGCAAGTGGCAACTACTACTGTGTTTATTAAAGTCACATATGCAAAATTCTTTAGTCAATGACTTCAAAGACTGTTGTCGGATCTTTGATACTGTGAAGGAATGTGAAGTGAAATGAAAACATAACAAGTATATAGATATCACAAAACAAAAAATAGACACTATACTTTTAAAATTAGTTTCTAAAAGGATTATTCTGAGCAACAGCAGGTGAGCCAATACATGTAGTGCATTCACATAGCAAGATTCTGCTATATTTTTGCTTTATGTTTTCACTTTTACTCTAACTAATCCCCCAAAATTATAAGACCATGTCTTCCTACAGCCTCTTCTTCTGAATAATGTAAGAGTAAATTCTTTATCAATGAGTCGGTGGCTTCCATTAGCTACAGACCAAATGGTAGAATCTAACCAAATGTGATTGGCACCCAGTCCTAATGGCCAAGTTGGGATTCAATTGAATGCAAGACCTGTTTAACCACTTGCTGTTTATTCTTATAACGTCCTTCACAAACATCAAAGGCAAACTCTAGTAACAGAAACAAAATTGTTTTTAAATTACAGTACAGTATTGTTAAAAGAATAACAAACATATTAAAAAATTCTTCGTATTGCCTGTTAATCACTGACAGAACAGATGCCACAGTCATCAACAACAAATTAACAAATGTGTAAAGAATAAGAGTTGTCTCATTCCTCATACAATACCTTGTAATGACACCATGGAAATATGAATATTCACACTAACATTTAATATCTTCATCCTTCAGCAGTGCCTTTAATAAGTGATGATGTATTAGCTATGATTTCTTTGCTAATATCTAAACTGGGTGATTCTCTCTCACTGTTAACAGGTTCCTCGTCATCCACTGGAACAGAGCGACTGCCACAAGCAATCAGTTCCTGATATTGCTTCTTAGCTTCTGGGACCAACTGCATCAATGTTTGGAATTTGTCCTAAAATAGAAGAAAAAAGAGTTAACTAAAGCATTTGTATCACCAACTGACAGCACTACACAACAAGAAATCTTAAAGAAATAGCAATAAAAAATGAGAGCAACATTAATCAACACAACACCACTGTATATAACATTTGTCTGACTATTTTCTTTCCTTTTTTCAAGAAATAAATAGCACATGGAGGGATCAGACAAATGTTGCTGTCAAATCTACTCACTGAAACATCCAGAGATTGAAGCTATATAGAGCAATATGGCAGATAGTGGGACGACTGATCCATCCTCGCAATAAAACAACAGGTAACAACTGACATGCATTAACATCCAAGGTGTTGTGCCAAAAAGCCTACATTCCGAAAATCAGAGATCTGAATGGAACCGAAGGAGATCTTGTATCCACCAGGTTTATGTCTACTGACAGACAAACAAACATAACATGTGAGGCCAAATGACACCTCATTATCACACAAACTTCACCATTGTCATTGTGAACCAAGAGGCAAATTTTGCACACTCAAAGGGTACAATAACAAGAAGTACAGGATTGGTTTCCCAATGGTGTCAAACTCAAATCCTCATTGAGAAGTTAATACACATACTGTATGACTGTTTTCCAATGTAAGCCGATATCAATAGTACAACCACATCGCCACTGGCTGGTCATAAAAACTCAATTGGCTCGTATATACCTAGTAAAATATTCACACTAAAGGAAGAGATATACCTCTCCGATCTCAACCTGTCTGTGATATGTGAAGCCAGGTCCATGTAACAGATGCTCTTGGTTGATTTGTAAATTCTATAAAGTAAAATAATAAGCAAATTTATCTTGAGTATGGGTCACTGTTAGAGCACACCCTCATGTGTACCTCTCCTGCTCAATCAAAAATAATAAATACTTAATAGGTAAACTTCTTTGTGTGAAAAATGATAAATGCCACATGCTGGTGGATATTATGACATCCAAAAATACCTGCTACCACTGTGTCACTTTCTTGCTACAGTTATTTTATCACTGTCACTTCAGGAACACAATGTCACAATATTACTGTGTAATTGCAATAACACAGTCATAATATCATTCAGTATCGCTCAGTTATAATATTACTGTCTAACCGGAGTGTAATACACTACATTCATAACATCAATGTCACTTTAGTAATGGGGCACTCCAGGACAACTCGACTGGTGACTAACACTCCACCTCCTTCAGTTCTAATGAATACTGTACCTATATTGGTACACGATTCAGTCATGACCCAAAACACAATTATCCATGTTTCAGCCAAGTCTGACCCAGTGGTCATGGAAAAAAATGCCATAAAATCAAACTCTTCTTTGTGGTGGTATAAACTCAGTCATATTATATTTATGTTAGGTCCCTAAAGGCTTCAAGGGCATAGTAAAAACTTAAAGTTTTGACAAATGAGTCAGATTAAAATGAAACTTAAAGAATTGTGTTCTAGGATAAAATTCAATGTCAGTAGCAATTTTCATCTAATATGGAGAGGCTTGAGTGTTAAACTAACTTTTTGGGGGTCACTTGTCCTGAAATATTGCTAATGCAAAAACATAGCAGTTTCATGTTACTAAAAATTTTATTGAACAAAGCACACATTAACTTACATACAGTTCCAACAGTTAATGCTACATTCAACCCGCCTGCGATGTGGCATGGTAAGAGTAAAACCACAATAATAAATTTAAGTCAACACTGAGACTTTGTGATCCTTTTAAGAAATAATTCAAAATACTGTAACAGCCTTTATGCCATTTCTTATGAACTTGTTGACTGGTAAACCCCGGGTAAAAGTGAAATACTAGTGGCTAACTCATCACAATCCTCAACAGCATAATGCCCCATTAACTCTGCCTTATGCTGAGAATCAAGAGCACTCTTACCTGCACCCTGGACTCCACAACTAATTTAATGATAAACAAATACAGTAATAAACATTCATGACCAAGAATTGGATACAGATAATGTATCAATGAATTGCAAACTACAGTGTATAAGAGAATTTAGAGGAGATTCAAATTTTAAATCACTGTAAATATATAAGACTTTACAATAAAAAACAAATGGAGTGAAGAGAGTAAGGACAGGGATTAAATAGTTAAGTAATCATGATATCACTGATCCTCTCTTATCGACCGACAACTCCTAATCAACAGCACAGTTACCGAAAAACATTACAGTGAGTTATGCTATAACGCGTGTTTTGATAACGCGATTTATGAATAGAGGAACGATATTTGTATAACGCAAACGCTTGTTTGCTGTAACGCGATTTTTGCTTACTATTTCTCCAATTTTGTGGTATTAACTGTGAATATGGTAAAGAAGAATATCTTCAAGAAGCATTCTGGTGATCGAATTCCCGGTGATGATCGTAAAAGAAAGGATATAACACTTGAAGAGAAGCTTGATGTTATCAACCTCAAAATCACCCTTCTCCCCCATCAAGTTATATTCATATTTTTTCAAGGTAAAGTGTTACATTTACTGTATGATTTCATTATTAGATATGAATGTAACATTTATTTAGACTGTGCTATCCTTTGTGTTAGGCTTACTACTAAATTTTTTCGATTTCGAGTAATCTGCACCTAACCCTATTTTCTCCATAAGCCCTGTTATTTCTATTACGCGATTTTCTATAACACGGTATTTTACAAGAACACAACTCTCGCGTTATAGCAGAACTGACTGTACCTGGCAAGCCTTTAATTTACAGCATGTTCAACCACTATGTACTGGTCAGTGTTCAGTTGGGTCCACATTGTGCACACCTTTTCTCAAGAAACTGTAAAAGTGTTATGTTTGAGATGAAATTAAACCTTATTAAACAACCTGAGAGATTAAGGAACAACAGTTGATGATCAGCATAAGCTTCTCAATAAATCATTCATTACCACAACTTATATAGATCTTTTATGAATTCTACAGTTATTAAATGCTTATTGTTTTAACATCATCGAGTGTTAATATTGGGTGTGGATGAATGTAATGGCTGGCTGATGCAGGTTGGTGGTGGTGGGTGGTCAGTTGACGAACAGCTGTGAGCTGCAGATTATGAACACACCTTTCCTTTGTACTACTTCTTGCACTGTCACTATGTTGAAATGCACTGTAGTTTGAGCTTATCCCCATCTAGTTATTATATATCTTATTTGTATCACTTACGTTACTTGTATATTATTTGTAATTCGAAACCCATTCTCCAAATATGTAACTGTATATTTTCAGCCTTCTGGCTGCCAAGCTCTTTCAATAAACCATTAATTATTATTATTATTATTATTATTATTATTAATACACTATTACATTTACTGGGTAATTCTTATCAATTTCTGAGAGTTTCTGTATGAAAAGTTTTATTTTGGAAGTATGGCTGCAAAAATAACACAAAATTACTTGAGGATGTCGGATCATGAGTGTGATGATTACAAGTGGCCTGGAATGAGTCAATTCTATGTATTTTTCATCAATTATTGTATTATTTCATTTTTTTCTATATTCATTATACATCTTTTAGTTATTACTGTCACATTACTTGTTTATTTATTAAATCTATTCACTATGATATGTCAAATATGTATATACTAAGAACTCCATAACTTACAGCTTAAGCTACTAATTATCAACCTCCTATCTAATAAGAATTTTTATCATCCAGCACCTTAGGACCAAGGTTGTCAGATAAGAAAGGGTCAACCTGTACAATCAGATAAACAAGACGACACGGTTACAGCAAGATGCAATGACAAGATGTTACAGGCTCCTTGTTGAAGGAACTTGTATAGTGTAGAGGTTATGCTTTCACAAAGGATATAGTTTTCTATGTGATGTCTATACAGTATATATTGGACAAGAAAATGCTTCTACCGTATAAGTGACTCACATTTTTCTATAATGCAGCAAAACCTAAATGGAAAGTGAGAATCAGTGAATATGAAGAGCTATAAAACCAATAAATATTGGGTGCAGTAATGTCACAGAATAAACAAAGTAGAATGGAAATTTCTTCGAGTGAAGCATGTATGAATATCTCTAATTTCATAGAAGAATAACTTTGACTCCTGTTGGCCTCCATTTAAAACTTACTAGTACACATACATGAAACAAACAAGATCACATACAACATACAATAACTTTAGCTTAGAATCTTCCTTGAAGTCCTTCTAAAACATATTTGAAAGTACCTCACCTGAGCACCCTGATAGTTGATGATGCCAAAACAGCTCACCGGCACCTTTTTGAAACAGAGATTGCCAATTTGTTTACAAGAGAGTGCAAATATGACTGGTACTCCATGGACCTGTGCCTGACCCAGCATCTTCTCCACGACCTCATCCAAGGCACCTGTAGGGGAAGGCAACAACACTTCAAACATAAGTTATGTATTTATATATTTTTAAAGACTTTACTAATAGTTCTGTAAGTATAAAACTGATCTAGAGTTATACAGTATTAAGAAATATGTCAAAGTTACGGGAGTGAAATACAAGTCATATAATATTAGTAAGTATATATTAATGGTGGTTTAGTTGTTTATTAATGTTAGCATTTGGGAAGGAAGAGGTGCTCCTGTGAGAAGTTATGCAACGGTTAGACCCATTTACACAAAATAAAATGGAAGAATATGTCACTGATATTTTACTGTTATACAAAATACAGAAAAAAAAAAAATCTTAAAGAAAATGACCATCAACTCCAACTTTACCAACAAGCACAAACTAAATTTTCATATTAATATCCCATTAACATTTCAAGATATAAAAAAGTACATTTATTGATTAATCAATATCAGCTTAAGTATACATGCAATATATAGGTGTAATAAATTTTCTGTTACATTTAACAAATTACTACAGTACAGTACAGTACTTGTACATACAAAACTTATGTGCAAGCAAATGTGAGCATACCCCATCCAGTACTGTATTGATATTAAACAGTTTATTTAGCCAGAAAGAAACAGAGAGGATAATAATAACAATACTGTCCTGTAGACCCTTGCCATTATCGAGGGATAGGTTCCAAGAAATGGCAAAACCATGAATAGCAACTTATACTACCTTAGTGCACAACTGTATACCTATACCAAACAACTGACCAGCCGCGGCAGCACTCGTCCCTTCTTTTAACTTATCTAATAATAAAGCTTTCTTTGTCAGGGTCATCACTGACTTCTGCCTATTACATTTCATTCCACTAGCATCACTAGTACTGACACTAGGCAGTCTTTCAAGAGCCATTTCACACAGATATACTAATGTTTTGAGAGTACAACACGAGATGCTGCGTGGGGTGACTAATTGTGCTGCATGGGTTGACTTGTTGTGCTGCGGGAAAAGGCTTGCAAGCTAGCCACCATCTGCTTCCTGTGAATCATCAAAATCGCAAATGGCAAGGGTGTACTGTATTGACATGGCTGAGCCAATTGAGAGCTCACAATCTGTGTCATTACCCTCTTTTGTTTTGGTCATGGTGTCCTTTTAATTAAAACCTTGATCTATTGGCTTAAAATTTGGGATAAACAACCAAAGCGTTTAAGAATAACTGTGATCATATTTTACCTGGTCCTTTACTTCGCTGAATATCAGGAGCCACTATTATGCAAGACATTTTGCCCATTAGCTTTGTCGTCTCCTTCAGACCACACACATACCTTCGCCTGGGAAGTTGAAAGGTAAACTTTATGAGTTACATGCTTAACCATCAGGGTAACCTTAATGGTCTAATGATATTACAATTATGTATCACACCTTTAAGTTCGCACAATTTAATGAAAACTAAACTCAAATTGAAAAACCCAGTCACACACTACTATGTACAGTAATAGCACTACCAATTCAAAATTGATTCACCACTGATTGCCTAAATGATAACTTACCTTATACGAGCTTTTGTGGGATCACGCTGAAAGTGTCGATCCTGGAACCCCACTAAACTTTCTACCAGTTGCTGAGTGACCATGTTTACTTCTGGTGTGATGATGTGATCACAGTACCTGAAAATAACATCTTTAGAAAACTGATAGACAAAGTGATTTTGAATGAGGGTCCCACAGTGAAGCAATTAATGAGAGTTGCTGGAGGAGAGAGAAGGATGGAGTGGTTTATGCATGCCAGGCTGTTGTGTGTGAGGGAATATGGTGCCATGTAAGGAAATAAATTAAGTCAATTTCTGTAATTAAGGAGACTCATATCAAATTGCTTCAATTAATTACATTACAGTAGTTATTAGAAAAGGGATGAAATATTGAAGAAAAAATCAAAATTAATGTTGACACTTTTACAAGATTTTCAATTTGTTCAATTATTATGTGCTGTATGCTGGCATAGTCATTTCTTACCATTTTGTCTTGCACCAGTCACCATTTATCTACCCCACTTCTCTCAGGTTACTGTAGCTACCCCTTGATCCACACAATAGGGGAGTAGAGATCTTATAAACTGTCTATTTGCTACACAATAATAAATTCGTCTCAATAACTAAAATGTACTTTTACATTTGTTGCATACAAGAGGAGTTTCCTTTCGTTTAATGTGATTCAGTATTGGTTATTTTTCTTCCCAGCTAGAATTAAATGTATACCCACTAAAAAATTATTCGGCACCCGTCATATTGCATCACGCCGTAAGGGTGCCGAATAATTTTTTAGTGGGTGTACATGATACTTGTGTTCACACACACACACACACACACACATGTATACATGCACAATACATACATGTACACCCACTAAAAACTTATTTGGCACCCTTACGGCGTGATACAATATGACGGGTGCCGAATAATTTTTAGTGGGTGTACTTCCTATACTGTATTATAAATGACAAAAAAATGCTTATTAAAATGTTGATGCTTCACCTTAAAAAAAATAGACTAAACTGAAATATAAAAGCAACTTTCTCCATAACATACTTACTCTCTGAATTTCTTCTTGTGAATAGGATGATGAAGTGCTCTTAATTCCTCAGTGATAATGGAAAATTTCTTGGATTTCTCAGGATCATCACAATGGTAAGTACTATTCTGGACGAGAGGCACTACTTCTTCTGCCACAGTTTTCTCATGAAGGTCTGGTTGTTTTAGCTTTACCTCTGTTGATGAGGATACTGTAATACAGGGGGTATTTGTAATACCTGCTAGAGACTGCAACTCTTTCTTTAATCTCTCCCTTTCTTTCACAACTGAGTGTGATTTAGAAATTTCTTCATTCTTCTTCAAATTAGCTTGCATTTCACACTCACCTTCCACATCTAACGCATCTTTTGATAGTTCACAAACATTCACTGCAGCACTGACATTTTTGCTGTTGTTGCCTTCACTGTGTTCCAGTTCAGGTGATATGTTTGTCAAAGGATTCAGTTTTTGCTCAGCATTAACTTTGTTCACATCATCTTTCGCATGAGCATTCTCCAGGACATTACCTTCATCTTTTGACAGTACATCTTCAGGGACTATACCTGAAGTTGCCACTGTCATCTTCAATTCCCCATTGGTCTCAGGATGAGGAGATTCTGTTACAGAAGTTCCACTTTTCTCTTTCTCTACACCAGCTGATAATTCTGCCAAATGGAAGAAATTATTCTGTTATTGTGCTATACTGTATTCTAAAAAAAATATTATTTTCTATCTATTTATCATCTGCTGAAATACATTTAATCGCATTGTCCACCATGTGGATTCCATTAGTCCAAGAACTGACCCAGTTATTCACATAATGATGAGAAATACTAAAAATAATAATAATATGGACACTGGGCAAGGACAGGATAAATACTGTTAAGCAAATGGCTCCTTCCCCACACTCCATTTCATCCTGCATCATAGTTAGCACAGAAAAATTTCTCTGAAGAGGATGCAGAGAAGACTCTGTGTAACTAACCATAACACATAGTACCGAGTATGAAAAGAACATTTGGAAATGCAGGCCTAATTGCCAACAATGTTTATCTTCATAATAAATCAAGACTTACCCTGAAGAATAGATAAGAATGCTTCCACTTCCATCTGGCGTGCCCTCTGCATGCATTTCTTCAGACGTGATACCTTCTTTTTAGTTTTGCCCTCTCTCTGCTTTCCTCGCTTCATGTTTGTTACTCCTTTCACCTGAACATGGGGAAATGACTTGAGATATGCATTATATAGGATCAAGGTGAAACATTTAGCCAGTGTTTGTAAAGACTCCTCATAATCTGGAATAAGAGTAGAATCCTCTCCATATCATTATTTTATATCACTTTACCATTAATTTTTATTCATTCATCATTAATTACATATCATAGTTCTGTAATTATAAATTTTAAATATTGCAAATAGTATTTAATATTGGAGATAGTCTGTAGCCTTGTCTAGCTCTCTGTTTAACCTTATACTGTACTGTACTGTACGAACTTATAAATTTATTATAAACACAGCAGCTTCCTGATGCAAGTAAAACCCTCATAAAATTTTAATACAGTACTGTAACTCCATCACAAATACCTGTACCAATTTTCTTCAAGTCATCCATAAATTTACCTTTGTTATGAGGGATGGAGCTGTTGCACTTCGTGTATTTTTACCTGGAGAGCCAAGATAATTCTCCAGAGTTCCAGCAGCTTTCCTGTTTAATGCCTCTGTTGTATTCTGTACAGATATTGGTCAATTAAGGAAAGCAATACAGGGTCATAAGTTAACAGTACTGTACTGCACTGGGTAATGGGAAAAAAAGGGCTTAATCAGTGTTAATTAAATATGAATATACGTAGTTATGTAAAAAATGAAAGGTTATAAAGATCCAACTATTAACAGTACTGTATGTGCAGACATTTGATAATAATCTATACAGATACAGTACTTGAAAAGACAATTTCCTCACCTCTTCATTATTAGTGGGGTCCTTTCTTTTATTTTTCTTTGACTTTAAAGCAGCAGCCATCAAATCAAACTCAATGAGATCCTTGGTCTTTACTTTCTTTTTCTGAACTGGAGTAGAAGTGGCCTCTGAGGGGACATTTTCCCTTACATGTACTTTCAAAGGGGCTGGCTTCTTCTCCACAACATTTTTGGCGGCCAACAATGCTCCACTGTAACTCGGAACATCTGATGGCGTATCACTGACACCTTCACTATTATTAACTTTTGAACCTGATGTGGACGGCAGGCATGTATTCGCTTTGACACTATTAACTCTGGACTCTCTCAAGGCTTCTGACTGTCCTCTGCTTCCCATTAGTGCTTTCTTTTCAATATTTTCATGAGATGTTGCTCTGGTGGCAGTGGTACCCCACGAAGTTAGGCTTGGATATTCTTCACTTATAAAATTTAATTCCCGGTCCTGACTATCAGAACTTAGCAAATTAGCTGATATCCCTCTTGAACTGTCAGCAAGAGTAGAATCCGTGAAATTCTTTGTTAAAATTTTTACTTTTGGTACTTTTGAATAATCTTCACTGTTTGAATTCATATTTCTACTATCAGAGGCAAACAAATTGGTTGATTTCCTTATACTTGAACCACCAGCGAGAACTGACTCTAAGAACTCCTTTGTAATAATTTGCACTTTTGAATCAGATTTGATTAAATCTTGAGCTTTCTTGAGTTTCTGTTCCTTCTTCCTCATTTTTTCGTCCTTTCGCTTTCTCCGTAATTCTTGAAATCTTAATACATCCTTTTCACTGATTGCTTTTTTCTGAGGCTCTGAGAAAGGGGCCTTTGCTCCTTCTGCTAATGGTGGAATTTCGTTAGTATCGTGTTGCTCTGAACCAGATGAGACTCTGAATTGAGCATTGTCCTGCTGCACCTGTTCATGTCTTGACTGGCTTCCTTTTCTGTTGGCCTTCTCCTGCAAAAATAGTTTTGTTTTATCATCTGATTTTTTCACAAATTCATTCTTTACTTTACTATCTTTTTTACTGCCAACATTACTTGTACTATCTTTGTTTACCTGTGAGGTATTTGCTGTATCATCCTTTTTGTATCTTCCAGTTTCTTCTTTCAACACAGGTATTCTATTCCTAACACTGGGTCCGAAACTATCTGGTTTGAAGCCTCTATCTCTTTTAAAGGTGCCTTTTGGGAACACATTTTTAACAGGCACTGATATTCCCTCTGTTTGTTGGGAAGAGTTTTTATTCTTGGTCTGTTTCTTTCTCTCTCCCTTGACCTGCCACTGGAAAGGATCAGCTTTTCCCATTATTGAGGTACGATCACTTCTATTTTCACCTTGCACAGAATTCTCACAATTTTCAAGATCAGCTTCTCCTGCTGCAAATTCTCTTTTGTCAGGTAAATTTTTTGCACTGAGGGATATGTGTTGTTGAGATGTGCTGGTTTTGTTTTTAGTCTTATTATTTTTCTCCAAAGTTCCAATCTCATTTCTTCTACCTTTATTGTAATTATTCTCTTGTTCCACATCCTTGTGCACTTTGTCACATCCCAAGACCTTTATTTCATGATCAATTTCAGGATTATTATTTTCTTCAGCAGAACTCCTGTTTTTTTTAATATGTTTATTAAAACCTGATGCTTCAGGCACATCATTCTTTTTCACTAACCAAGCATTATTTTCACCAGTGGGAGTATATGACTCAGAGTCTCTCTTTACCCAAGGCACAGTTTGGGGACGAATATTATTGAGTGTGGGCCACTGATCTTCCTGCAACACAGACATCTCTGAAACAGCCACTGTTTTTGATGGCAGCAATGTGCCTCCATTATTGTCACCCTGCAAAATTGTTTTGTAGCTGAGGTCAACTCGGCGATGTGTTGTTGCTGTTGTTGCGGAAGGTATCTGAACATGTTGCATCTCATCTCGCACTGTCGAATTTATGGTATTCCCTGTGCCATGCTCACCATTATGTCTCTTCTGTGATCCACCCCTACCTTTCCTCGGGTTGTCATTATACTGCTGATACTTCTCTGACTGAGCTTCACCTAAGGAAAGACTGAAATCAGTTTTCTTAATCCCAGGTGCACTTCTATTAGTTTCTTCAGGTGGGCTGCCTCTAGTCCTCCAACCATGTCTCCAATTATCTGTTCTTTGACTAGTATGTCTACTATTAGACTCATACTGATGTGCCTCTCCATTACTGAGTCCTCTGGCAAAATTTCTATGCCTGTTGTACTTAGACCTTCCAGAAATTTCACCTCTTCCTCTGGGTGAAGCACTTCTTGGTGCACTTCTCCAAGTAAGATGTCCACTTGAATAGCTGTGCCTTGGGCTGGGAGACTGATGTGGTGAGCCATGCACAGAACTTGAGTCTAGTGACCCATGACCTACATGTTTTGCAGGAGCATATTTTGTGTCTTTTACATCCACTCCAAAGTTGTTTTCATTTGGAGTTTGAAATTGTCGAGGTATAAATTCAGGAACATCTGGAGACAACATTATCTGTCAAAGAATAAAATACATATACTGTAGTACCATACTAATAATTGTACACAAATCTATGCCTTTGACTAATTCAAATTACTCCCTAAATTACGCAAAAGAACCCCACAGCTGAGTTCCCTTTATTTGAGAGCAGGTCAGGCCCTGGAGTAGTGACAATGGGCTTCCCCCTAGCTTATGGCAACAAAATTAAGGGTAAGAGAGAAACTGTAGAATCTGCAAAAAAAATCAGCTGTAGTCATTTTAAATATATATTTTTTTTTTAGCCTAATCCAACCAAATTAACATACCGGGTCATCTAATATAAATATTGGAGAATCCAATTTTGCTACATAATGTCTTACAATTTTACTAAGATAAGTTTAATTTTATCAAATTCTGGAAAGGTTGAGAATACTGTATCTGGACATAGCTACAATATCATATCTTATCTGATAACCATGCATGGCTCAGGCAACTTATGTAGGCCTACAGTAGTCAAAATACTTGTTAAGAGATTACTGAATATCTTAACTATGCCAGAGACATTATTCAACATGGGAATGTGAGTCACCAAAGGCAGTGAAAAAGTATAAATTTAATGGATTTTCCAGCCAGTGTATTTCACAGGGTAAAATTGCATCAGCCAGTGGTTCATTCCATACTAAAATCAGTGTACAGTAGTCCCTAGCCTACCACTGATTTGCCATCCGTGGATTTCGGGTATCCACGGTTTTTACTCTGTATACCATTTCATCAACAGTGGCATTGCATTTTGAGTATCCACGGTTTAGCGCGGCATCAGTTTTCCTCCGTGTTCCAGTGTATTCCTTTGTAAATGTGAGCAATGAATAAAAATAATACTGATAAGTAAAAGAAAAGAAAAAATACTGCATTACCATTTGGCAATCATTTCACTAAGGACACGGGAGACAGGAGCCACTCCCCCTTCCCCCTTGAAAAATCACTATAACACAGTTTGGCCTCATAGAAGGAGGGGTAGGGGGATGTAGCTACAGGGACAGTCTAATTTGGCAACTTGCAAAGTTCACACACATATACACCCATGCTCTTCATTTTTCTTATTTTACAGTATATCAACATGCCATCTCCAAGGAGATGTACTGTATATTACAACCAGGCAGTAACAGGCATCTTGGTTAGGCTTAGATAAGTGTTATCCACAGCCATGGAACCTATCCCCCTATTTCCCAGAAGTCTATAGTCTTGCTAACCATGGTATTTGGCAACCACAGGGTTTTCAGGAACCTAACCCCTGCGATTGGCTAGGGACTACTGTACAGTACCGGGTATTCACTTTAGGACCAGAGGCCATGGCTTAATTGCCAGTGTTAAATGGTGGTCCCAAATTGGAACATATGCAACTGACTGCTTGTTTCTGTGACAAAACATTAATACTGAACTGTACTGTACTTAGTGCCATGATTTGTTCTTGCTTGATAATTTTTGGTTACTTTTCTACAGGATTTCACTATAATAGGTGCTTTTATACACATAACGTGAATTAGCTACTTACAATATTTTCTTTTAACCATCCATTTCCCTCAGATGAATAGCTGCTCCAACCAACCTTTTCAGATTAGTCCGAAGCTAATTGACGAGTTGACAGTTCTGGGTAAACACAAGAAATACACTCTGCCACGTTCGTAGAGTGATACGGTATATATAATTTGTAATAAAAGTTTAAAGTCCTGCTATAATAGTCAAGATAAGTTTATTTCTCTAGAAACAGGGCCGCCATTTGCAATGACATCACCACTTACCCTGCAGACAACGTACGGATGGAGATACAAGTCAATTGAGAAGTACCGTAATGACATTGTCTGGACTTTGTTTTTGAGAATTCCTGATGACAAAATAATGCTGTTATTGTTTTGATGATTCACTAATGAACCACTGGGATATATTATCATTTATATTAATTAATGGGTAAAATTTTAGTTTATCTACCATAAGTATTTGGATGCTTAGATTCGAGAAAGGCTATACAGGTATTGGGTAAATCTTAAGTTTTGGTAATCCCTGTACTTAGACATGCAGGCTATGTTTTTTTTCTGATGGTTTGCAATGTATTATGAACAATTTTTACCTTCATTTCTATCAGAAATCGCTAGCTTTGAGTTACTACCCCCCTTACCGGTGTATGTTAAGCTACTCTTATAACTTATCATACCTAACCTAACCTATGACCTGTATTTTCTTATGATAGAAAAAAATTTTGCGACAGAAATCCCGTAGAGATAATTTGTTTTATTGTTTAAAGGACTTAATCCCATTGTTAGAATCTTAAGGTTCCCAGATGACCAAAAGCAAAATAATACCAATATTGTTTGGAATGTTTATACTGTGAAATTTGTAGTATGGGCAGCTAATATCCATTGAATTAGTTAATGGGCTTAGTAATATTTATATAATCAATAAAGGATTACTGTGTTGCACAGTAGAGCACAATTAATTATCTAATATTTACTTACAGCCAATCAGCTGAGAAGGTTGGACAGCTACTTCCAGGGTTCATCAAGGCAGATGAAAGAAATTTACCAAAAGTTTATGTCTTTATGAATGTACAGTATTATCAAGAACTCCGCCATCCAGCTATGAAGCACGTTAAACTACATCTGTCATCTGATCATCTCAAGCCCATCCCCTGGCCATGGTCGACCCAAGTCCTTCCACAACATTAAATATAGACATCAGTGACGAAACATTTTCCAGACATGAAATAGAGAACAGTGATGAAAACTTCCATGTTGGAGTTATCGGTCTTTTGCATCATTGTGGCAGCCAGCAAGTAAATACACACGATGATACTTGAGCAGTAATTTATCTAAACCTAAAAATAAGGTACAGGTATGCTTGTTTATATCAACATTGTATATGGCCACAAGTCCTGTAATTGTCTGGTAATTAACAAAATAATGGATATGCACCACAGCTGGCTGCCTCTACGATCCCTCTCTGCAGCTCGAGGGAACCAGTGACGTCACAACCAATCACAAAGCTTTTCAGAGTCATGTGACTTTTTAGCAACTTTAACCCTTAATTTTTTACACTTTTTGGCCTAATTTATTTTAAAATATCATTACCATAGTGAATTTAAGCATTTTCTTTACCCATAAACCTGCAATCGTACGAAAAAATTCTGACTGTCAACTCATCAATTATAGACAAATCTTATCTACGGTGATTGTCCTTCAGTTGCTGGTTAGGAAGCATTACTAATATAAACTAATACCGTTTTTTCCTTACCGTGTCATTATATTAGCACAGTATTTATAAGAGGAAAAAATAAAAATCCTTAATAAAATGTACCATCCCTGACAGCAACTTTAAAACACACCTTACCACCCAGCTTACTAAAAGGATAAAATTAATGTTCTAGGAGTACATAAAATGGTATTTCAATATTGGCGTGGGAGACAGGTGCAGCAGCCGTATACTAAACATTAATGTCTGTTTGTACGGCAGTCTAATGCGTATGTGTCATAAGCAGACTATACAATGATAAGTTACTAAGACGGTCTTTCTCTGACTAACCTAACCAAATCTATTGTACCCTCTAACCAAATCTAACCTAACCATTAACAACACAGTCTGTTAATATGGCTACCGTACCTATATCCAGTGTGGTTTTTGGCATACAGATACCATACCCGTATCCACAACGTTAAATATATCATGAATGCCAAATGTGTCTCAGTACAAAAATTAGCAAGAACATTCAGCCAAATTTTCAAAAGTATATTATGATTAATAACCAAGGTCCATTTTACAAATTTACTATAAAAAATATATACAGTATCTGTATATCCTTTGTAAGTGATTGGTAGGTTATTTATTAATGAACTATTATATACTCTTAACAAATATTCTTGAAAAGATTCATAATAAAATTCTAATTGATTAGTGTTGACCATTCTACAATTTCACATTTTAAGTATCTCCCTAAGCTAAAACATCATCAAGTACTCAGCATACAAGTCCTAAGTCTAAAATAAAGGCACCAAGTATTTCCTGAACTCATAAAACTGAAAACATATACAACATCAGTATATTACAACACAGTAACAATGAACATGACTTACCTCGTCTCACACTTATAAATTTACACACAGTAATGTAAACTCAGCTACACTCTCCTGGTTACTGTCCGTGTAGGAGACAAATGCCATTATTTGTCTCGGAACAACGCAGAGTCCTGAGAATAAGTATTATCCATTCTTTTTTAATTCTTCACCTTTAATTTCCTGTGTTGTGTAGTGTTTACGTCAGTGTTGTCTTCCCTCCACCTCACCTCACCATCAACAGCCGTTCGTGAAGATCATAACAAAGATGATGACGACATCGTTGGTCTTCACGTCCACGAACGTCTTTACACACACACCATGGTAGCCTTGGATGGCTCGCATGTTCATTGTTCACCAGATTAACAAACTAGTGATGAACCTAAGTATTCCTGAGTTATCTTATGAACACTGTTTAAGGAAGCTAAGGATGCCATCAACTGTACACCGCAGAATAAAGGGTGATAAGATGGAGACTTCAAAGATGAAGCAATACTTAATCTTTTTTTGCACGGTAAGGAAGTTAACACTGGGTATTGTAATGTTAGAGGCCAATATTATGTTTTAAACTGATGACACGTCCATAAATAATAGCCAATCAAACTCTGGAAATAACTATATACTGTACACAAGCCATGTGAACAAATCTAAAAAAAAAAAAAACTAATATCAATAGAAAATATGTAAAGTAGACCAAGAAAGTATCACTGTAGTTTATTCTGTAATATCACCATACAAGTTCATAATAGTTCAAATGTACGTACTGTACATAGGCAATGCAAATATACAAATAGTAAATAATAAGTTGATCCAATCAAAGGTAGTCCATTGGACGATTCTTGAAGAAAGGCATCTCGTTTAATCGACTAGGCTAAGGTCTTGGTTGGGTCTGCCAGTTCGAGCAAGACAGCCCTGATATAGAATATACTGTATATATCCCTCAGTTGAGATTTTACACCAAGCTAGAGGTGATAGGGTTGGCTCAGGTCAGTTTAGAATCACACTCGGGTAAATTTTCAGTTTCAACCACAACTAATGTTCGATCAATTTTTTTTTTTTTTTTTTTTGGGGGGTTCCAAGGTATTTGGTGTGATTCATTCGAATTTAGGGCTGATCCAGGAATATCAAAAAGGGGGGGGGGGGTTACATGGCGAGCGCAGCGAGCCCACCCAATATCCTGGGCATTTTGAGGCGGTGACTGCAGATTATGTTAATTTCTTTCGTGAACTTACTTTCTCGGTTAATATCCATTTGCGACGGAAGTGGTATTATAAAAAGTTGTTCCTATTGAGAAGATATAACAAATGGTAAACACAAAATTGCTCTAACCGAGTTGTGGCTGAAACTGTAATAATACCCACACCAGTATGAAAGCTCATCAGAAGCCGTGGAAGCTAGGGCAGTTAGGTAAGTAACCCAGCCGTAACCAAGCAACTTCTCACCGAGTGTTGTGGCTCTGTGGGACATCAAATCCGAACAGGTGGTCAGGTCTCCGTACCTGATGACTTTCAAGGGATGACTAGACAAGCGCTCGTAATATGATGATATCATGTATGATTAACCGCTCGCTTTAGTGCCAAGTATTTTCATACAAGTGGACGAGAATCTGGATATAAGAGCATTAACCTTTCATCTTGGATACAGCTACAGGAATATGCAACTTAAACTAAAAAGTGAAGACTGTCCGCCATCAAAGGCTTGGGCTACTTTTGGTTATATTCGACATCGTTTGCAATGTACGGATGTCTAATCTCTAGGTATATGAGATATAAGAAATCCAATGTTAATTTGTTTGAAAATTTTCAACTGAAGAATCATGTATTCATCCATATATCTACCTATTTTATTTTATTTTATCATCTTCGTTACTGATCCGTCTGATCGGTCTGTTAGCCGCTTTGGTGGTGGATCACGTCTTTGTTACACGCTGCTGGCATAGGCCTATTCTGGACAGCCACTGGTTCCAGAATGTATTTGCTATTACTTGTACCTTCGCCACTGTTGGTCAAGTCTTGTCTAGAATGAGCTCGCATTCGGTGCCACCACAAGGCTGTGTGGCAGATTGTTGAAAGAGTTCACAACTGTCACTCAAAAAAAAATGCCCTGACAACTTTCTGAACCTGTGGCATCAGTTCCATGTATGAACACTCGACTGAGTAATGTCCTCGGAGGCATTTATAAACTTCTATGAAGTCACCCCCCTGCCCGCCTATAGGATAAGCTCGGCCACGGATTCTTTCCTGTTAAAGGACAGTATAGAATCCTTGGCTAGGCCTATCTATCAGTCGGTGATTGTGTGTTTGTACCTATTTATCTAGTTATGTAAGTAACAGGCTTAGTTTCCCACGAAAGATTCACATTTTCTGTCAAATCATTTTATAACATTAAGGATGGGAAACTCTAATAAACGACATTTAAAAGTTTGCATAAAACACGAAAATCATTTGAGTTCGAGCTTAAAGGATGACCATGTATATACGAAACCTTAATTGGCGAACTGAAAAAATCGAGTTTTAGCAAAGGAGCTGAAAGATAAAGGTTAATTAAATTTAGACGAAAAGCTTGAACATGGCCACGTTTAAAATAACAATTATCTTAAAAGGAAGGAATTAGTTTAAAATCCGCTGTGTGGATTACAAGTCTCTCACGAGGTTTAAATATGATTATTTTAGGACGAAGTTCAAATTAAAATAGAAAAACTTAAATAGGTAGCTAGTTATTTTTTAAAGTTAATATATGATTTTTTGGGTCAGATTTTATTAGAGATTAGTACAGGGTATTGTAGTGAATTCTCCCTACAAACGCTGTTTGTCGCTGCCTAGCGACCCCACCAATTCCCCAGTGTATGCCTCGTGGTCTGGGTCAACCAGCGCCGCCATACACCACGGAGCGGGGGTCAACTGCTAAGCCACGCCTACCCCCGCTATTTAAGACCTGACCTCGTGGTGATCTCTCTCTCTCTCTACCTACACCAACCAGCCAGCAACACCTCCTCCTGCCTGGCGGTCCTCGCTCCTCCGCCTGCCTGGCGGTCCTCTCTCCCGCTGGCGAGCATGGCGACCCACAAGCTGTCCTTCTCTGAGCGTCCTCACCAACCAGCTCTCTCTACATCACGCTTGTAACCATGCTGCCTTCCCAGCACCAAGCTGCATTGTACATCCAATACAACATGTATATAGAGAGCACATCGTGAGTTTCCTTTCTCCATCCAATCCTGAGTGTGAACCAAACATCTTGAACCCACAGTATTTCTAAGACTTTAATATTAAAGTACTATTTAAATCAGTGATTGATTAAAAGATATTTTGTTACGGGATTAGCCCACCAGGGCACAGGTCAATGTCCCACATCAGGGCCTGGGGGGCAAAAATATAATAATAACAATAATAATAATACAAAAATGAATAAAAATTAATAAAAAATATACAATATTAAATAAAAATATATAATAATAATAATAATAATAATAATAATAATAATAATAATAATAATAATAATAATAATAATAATAACAATAATAATAATAATAATAATAATAATAATAATAATAATAATAATAATAATAATAATAATAATAATAATAATAATAATAATAATAATAATAATTATAAAGGACCATAATTAATACCCCTCCCCCAAAAAAAAAATATCAATAGTGAGAAAGGATATATGTATGTTGTGTTGCCAGAAAATTGAAATCCTGCAATTGTGTGTAACTGAGGAAGAAAGTCAAATGAGCAACCTGGGATTTCGTCGCAATTTTTGCTATACCTTATGGCAGCAGGGTCTACAATTAGACAATACATTATGCTTCCAATATCTTCACAGGCGGTAGTACCTCCCTGTTTGATAGCAGTAACAAAAGTGACAGCAGCAGGAGTACCAACAACAAGTGACAGCAGCAGGAGTACCAACAAGTGACAGCACCAGGAGTACCAACAAGTGACAACAGCAGGAGTACCAACAACAAGTGACAGCAGCAGGAGTACCAACAACAAGTGACAGCAGCAGGAGTACCAACAACAAGTGACAGCAGCAGGAGTACCAACAAATGACAGCAGTAGGAGTACCAACAACAAAGTGACAGTAGCAGGAGTACCAACAAGTGACAGCAGCAGGAGTACCAACAACAAAGTGACAGCAGCAGGAGTACCAACAAGTGACAGCAGCAGGAGTACCAACAACAAAGGACAGTAGAGGAGTACCAACAGGTGACAGCAGCAGGAGTACCAACAACAAAGTGACAGTAGCAGGAGTACCAACAAGTAACAGCAGCAGGAGTACCAACAACAAGTGACAGCAGCAGGAGTACCCAACAGACAGCAGTAGGAGATACCAACAACAAAGTGACAGTAGCAGGAGTACCAACAAGTGACAGCAGCAGGAGCCAAAAACAAGTGACAGCAGGAGTACCAACAACAAGTGACAGCATACCAACAACAAGTGACAGCAGGAGTACCAACAACAAAGTGACAGCAGCAGGAGTACCAACAACAAAGTGACAGTAGCAGGAGTACCAACAAGTGACAGCAGCAGGAGTACCAACAACAAAGTGACAGCAGCAGGAGTACCAACAAGTGTGACAACAGCAGGAGTACCAACAACAAGTGGCACAGCAGGAGTACCAACAAAAGAAACCATCAACAGCATCAAGAACAGGAATAGCATCAGCAACATCAACGTCAGCAACAGCACAGCGTCAGCAACAGCACAGCGTCAGCAACAGCATAGCGTCAGCACTAACACACGGGAATGACCTCTTATATCAACAGCAGGTGGCGGGTCCAACATGTTTATTGACAGTCTGGTCAACACTACCGTCTCTAGTTACTGCTGTCTTCCACCACCCCTCCCTCCTTCTTCCCTCCTGCCCTCCTTCCCTCTCTCCTTCCCTCCTGCCCTCCTTCCCTCTCTCCTTTCCATTTTCACCCGCCATTATTGCCTGTCCTTTTCTTTTCTTCCGTGTGTCTTTCTCCCTTCCTGTTCCTGGTATCCTTCCTTTTCTGTCCCCTTCTTTTTATCCCTCCCTTTATGCCTCTTCCTTCATGTTTTCACCCTTTCCCCTTCACTCCTTCTTCCCACACCCGTACCCTTTCGCACCCTCCATCCCCACCCACACACACCCCCCCACCACCAAGTACAACATGATACTGTCAGTTGTGGGTGTGTGTGTTGGTGTGTTTCTCTCGCCAGTGTTGATCTTTGATGTCAACACTGGCGCTCATCTGTTTCTTTTACTACTGAATTGTGGGTAGACGGATCAGCTGTTTTCTGTTGTTACTCGTTTATTTACATTTTTTCATTGGTTATACAAAGTGTCAGTCAGGATGTTTATGAATATGAATCAAAAGTGAATTGATAACGATGGGAATGTTTTAGTAATTTTCTTTTTCTTATTTGTGTT